TCTACATCCTCAGGTTTAAGAAGATTGAACAGGGGAAGCTGTTGTACCCCAAAATTTTCCCTCTCATTTTTTCTCAACACATGCCCATTGAGGTCCCCAACTTGCCCTAGGATGACTAAGAATTGACCAGACAAATTCTCCTCCTAAGGCAATAAACCTTAAACTAGGGTTTCAATTTTCATCAAGATGGTTGAGCTCCAAGGGTCTAAACTGTTTTCCATGGCCCTAATATGTCCTCAAGATCATCCATGCCAAATTTCATGCCTTGCACAATAAGTTTGCTCAATCAACTGCGCAAATGCCTCAAAATCAACTGTACTAGGTCAAAAGTCAATTGTGGCCTATATACAGTCAAACTTCAAGATTTTTAGTCAACATCAAAAAATTTAAGTATTATCCATCATTTGATCAAGGGTTGATCATGATTCCTAAATAAATGCTCCTAACTCATCAAAAGTCAAAAATGGCAAATTATGGTTTCTATAGGAAAAGTTAACCAAACTTTGACCAGGCATAACTTTCTCATACTTTATCATCAATTTTTCCACCAAAGCTCATTTTGAATAGAATCCAATTCCCTACAACTTCTCTTCAGCCCCCAATTTCAAGAAATGCCCCAGTTAAAAGATACAAGCTCATACATTATAGGTCCTTTCAAAAAGTCAACAAAAACACCTTTTGGGTCAAAGATCCTTATATGAACATGGAATACCCAATTGAAATGAAACCAAAAGGGTTGTTTAGAGGAAGTCTTAAGCTCTCTAAAAAGTCCAAGAACACTCTATTAGGGTTAAAAATGAGAGAGATATGAATTGCCAAAGTTGATCAATTTTTGGAAAAGTGCATGAAGCCAATATTGACCAAACTTGAATTTTTTCCAGATGGGACCATCTTCTCATGCTTGAAACTTGTTTCTAACATGGCCCACGACCTTTGAGCTCATTCATACATTATTTCATTATTTATACTATTTATTTTGATATTTTATCCATTAAAATGCAAAATTAAATAAATAAATAAAAAGAAATAATGGAAGATATTATTGGGAATCTTTTTCTCATGAAATAAGGGACAAAATATACTGGCATATCAAGGGAAGATTGTGGGGAAAAGAAAGATTGAATTTGTTCTAAAAAAAAAGTCAAAAAATCACATAATTGAAAGAAGATTTTTCTCTCATCAAAGCATGGATCTTTATTCACATTTGTTAACCTAATATGATTTACTACATATACACAAACTATCCAGACCTAAAAGAGACACGTGCAGCCATCACAGGAAACCCCAGCAAAGATCAAAGTTTCAAGGAAAATCGTGAAAATCAAAAACATCAATTCCAGCCTTTGTTGATCCAAACAAAAGAGCCAATCTTCCTCCTGAGGTCCCAAGGGAGGCAAATCATTCCTCATACGCACCTGAAAGACCCTGAGATCGTCCAACCGAATCTCAACTTTTGGTAAAATCCTTGGATCTCAAACTTGTTTAATTCGTAATATAAATATCATTTGCTTGAACATTCATATTATTATCATTATTTGTAAATTTTCTAACGTGTTTCATGTAAGTTGTAAGGCTAGAATCACTAAACACCATTGTTAGGGTTTGGAGATGTGTAAGCTTCCGGTTCAATGATACCAGCACTTTCAGTCTAATCTAATACCATGGTTGAGTTTGCAGCCTAGGTTTTGTGGGGGGTAGCCAAATTTTTTGGGCTTGAAGTGCCATATTCTGCGGGTTCTAATTTTAGTCTCGCCGGAGAAGACAATGGTCAACCACCGTGAGGGGTGGTTTGACCCTCCCTGTGCTGGCGTGGCTGGACCTTGTATTCTGATAGGTCCATTCAAATAGACCCCGGGCCCACTCAGTGCGTGATTGTTTTTTTTAATTTAAATTACTATTGTTTGTTTTCCTTTATAATATATTTATTTTATTTATGATAACGAATGAACAGGTGATACGGTTGGCAATGCACGAACCCTTAAGGCTTTCCCCCTATCACGTCCTGGGTTTGATCCAAGCGTGAGGGTTTTTATTTTTTCATATTTGTCATCTTTGATCCAGTGCTTGCAGGCCATAGAGGTGCATCATATACCATCAACTCACCATCACCATCAGATCTTCATTATTCCAGATCCAGCGCTCCAAGCGTGCAGCCCCATGGTGGACCTTCCAGAAGCAGCAACATTGGATCACACGCTGTATGGCCCAACAGATCTGGGCCCCTAGGAAATTCAGTGATGCACCCCCCAATTTCGTTTCTCACCCCAGGCCCATTTCTTTTTAATTTACTTTATTTTCTTTTTTTAATTAGTTTATATTTTCTTAAATTCATTTTTTTTTCATAAATTCAACAAAAATCACAAAAATAGATTTAGGTTTTTTTATTAAAATTAATTTAATTAAATTTTAACTTGTTTTATTTAATTTAAAATTAGTTAGAAATTAGGTTAAATCTATAAAAAAAATTATAAAATACCAAAAATATTTTTATTAAGCAGTTAGATTTTTAGGAATTCAAACTTATTCCCTTTTAATTTTGCGCGTTGTTATTTTTTCTACGATTATTTTTTAATTATGTAACTGTGACCGGTTTGTAATAGCCTAATTTGGGTTTTTAATTTCCGCACTTTACATTTTCAGTCAGATATAACTGTAACTTCCCCAAGGCCATGTAATAGCTTAGGAGTTTTTATTTCCTACAATTTACTTTCCGCACTATATTATATGCATGTATATAAACTGCTAGTAAATTAGGTGTGTATGGCAAGAACTGATCAATCAATCTTAGATCACTAACATCAAGATAAAAATACCTGGAAAAAAGCACACTATTGCACACTCTCACCCCTAGGGAATTCCCCACTGTGGTTGCCTTCGGAAATGGTCATGTCCCTCGAACGTAGGGATACTCTCAGAAAAGACCCTCAATTTTAAAGTCATCATAAATATCATAGTCCCTCAATATCCCTCAAGTTGCCTACGAGAAATGATCTTGTCCCTTGATGTTGCCTACGAATATTTGATGACAGTCCCTTCGAACTACTAAGGTATCTCTACATGTTGCCTTCAATGACCATAAGCGTCCCTTTCGATAGTCCCTCAACATCCAACAATGGGACTACCTACTCACTAATAGTAGGATAGGACTATCTAAAGGAAAGGAGGAAAAGAACGCCTTTTTCGAGTTGGTAGATAAGTTCTTAGATGCTTGCTCAAAACAACTTTTTGCACCTACACAAAAACATTTCAAAACACTTTCAAAAACATTCGCCTTGTTAACACTCTTGAGGATTGATACAAGAGTTATCACAAAGAGAATCGTCGCACTAAGGCGTTTTCAACACAACTTTAAAAACAATTTTCAAAACACACAAAGCACAAGCAATTTTCAAAACATGAGCTAAGCATCTAAGAGCCCGTAGAAAACTACAGATGGAAGGGGTGCTAACACCTTCCCTTTCCATAATCTACCCCCCCCCCCCCCCCTTACTCAGAAACTCTCGAAAAAGGTCTTTTTCTGTTCTTTTCACCCTTACTTTTATTGGATAAAAGAAAAGTTGGTGGCAACTCTTGCTTACCGCGACATTTGCGAATGCAAAATGCAAACTAGTATTAAACAGTCGGTTCTACCACCGTATCATACCTCCTTTGTCATTTATTCTGAAAAATCTTGTTTTATTGATCAAAATTAACTTTTCAGATCTTTCCAAAATATTTTCACTCATTATCTTTCTAAAAACACTTTATCACCCATCTCTTCACACATTTCCCACTACACTCTCTCCCACACCTTTCATTCTTTATGAAAAACCCTATAAAAATATAAACTCTATTAATGGCATCCTTTTCATCTCAATGAATTCCTCTTAATGTGGAATCTGGTGAAAGTCTTCATATTAGACCTAGATCATTGACTCTTAGAAGAGATGATCTAAAACTCATCATTGAGAAAGTTGTGGACTTCAAGAGTTTTGCTACAAATGGGTATACTCTGAGAGAGTATTTTGAAGCGCAAGTCTAGATGAACTTCTTTGACATTCTCAATGGTCTAACATATTCATTCCTTGTCAAGGATTTTTGGGTAATGGCTGAATTATATGATGCATTAGCTGAAGAAAGAAATGCAATTGAAAATGACAAGAGCTTGAAAGGAAAAACAAGGGCATAAATGGGTTTAAAGGAGTTTAAAGGTACTTAAATCAGGTCAGCTGCTATGGGAGTCAGCATTACTATCACTCAAGAAAATATTACTCATCTGTTTGGTATTGAGAATGTTGGTATTGTGAAGCACAACTCAAAGGATGGAAGAAAGTTTGCTCCTAACATAAAAGAAGATATGTTTGAGATTAAAAATGATTTTGGAAAAGTGAAGAACATGCATCTTCCTTTTAGACTCCTGTTCAAGATTATCATCAGTAATCTAATTCCCAGAGAAGGAATTTTTGATTTGATTTCATGGAATCACAAACACTTTCAATGGTTTCTGATCAACAAACAACCCCTAAATCTCTCTGCCTACATCATTCATCATCTTTGTGAATAAATCAAGGATTCATAGAAGCACAACAAAAATAGTGTTCTTGATGCAAGGTTACTCTTTGAGCTCCTCTATCAGTGCAAAATGATTGATGTTCTGAAGGAGTTTAATGTTGCTCAAGACCTAGAAATTTGTTATGGCAATGCTCTCTCCATAAGTATTCTGGGAAACTCAGGTCTTAAAGAAGAAAGATGTTTTGAAGATTCCAAATCCTATTAGAATCACAAGAGGTGAAGGTAGAACATACATTGACAACTATCATGTGCTTACTAAAGAAGACAACCTATAAGCTATTAGGGAATATTTTGTAATGGTTAAGAAGGAAAATAGGGTAACTCCGACCATGGAGAATATTCCTGATAGAGCTTCTGATGTCACCATCAAAAGAGAAAAAAAAGGAAGAAAACTGCTTTAGAGGAAGAAAGGGTCATTCAGAATCCCGCTAAGAAGAAAATCCTAAGTGATGCTCAAAAAGCCCTTCAAAAGGAAGTTGAGGAGGTAGTTGGGATAATTGAGGTTCTGCCTAAAAAAACTAGAAGTGGAGGTACTGGTTAGACTCTTGAGAAGAAGAAAGCTTATGTACCTGCTCCCAAACAGAAAAAGCAAATGGTATTGATTCTTCCAGAAGAAGAAGAAGAATCAGAGTCTCTGATGAGGAAAGGTAGATAAAAGTGGACATTGTCTTGTCATTTGCTATCATAACTAGTGCTAAAATCCTTACATCTTCCTCTGTATGTCATGCTGATGAAATCAACCAAAATGTTGATAAAGTTATGAGGAAACAGCTAGGAACAAGATTTGAGTTTGTTACTACATCTCCTGAAGTTGTTCAACTAGCTCAAGAGTTTACTTCTGGAGTTGAGCACCTTGCTCCAGGAGGTTCTTAAAAGGTATCTTCTGGTATGGTTGCTTCAAAGGTGGTCCTAGAAGTTTGTGTTATTCTGGAAGGTGAAGTTTTTGCTGAAAGGTGTGTGGCAAATTGTAAGTACGAAGTGCGCCTAAGAGGGGGGGGGGGGGGGGTGAATTAGGTACTTTAAAAAATTATGGTTTTAGTGATGATGGATCTTATTTTTCTGGTTAATGATGAGTTTAGGAAAGCTTAAAAGTGCATAAAAATAAAGATACACAGGCGATATATCATGGTTCCCCTCACAGTCCAAGAGTACTCCAGTCCCCTTTCAACGTAAAAGAGATTTCCTTATTGTGGCAAACTTAAACAAGAACTACCAAAAAGCCAAGAACAATCCTCTTGGGCCAAGAACAATCCTCTTGGATTTTCACTATGTCAACTATGAGAACAATCATCTCAAAGTGACTACATTTGTATCCAACAATCCTGGAAAGACAAGATTTTAAAAACACTTAAACTTATTTCCAACAATCCTGGAAAAATAAGTAAGTAACTATCAATATTTGAGTTTGAGTGAGTTGAATAGTATTGATCACTTAGAGTGATTTAACAATGAATGATCTTTTCTTCCAATAATATTATTGTACAATGACTCAAGATATAATTGATCAAAGTTTTCTGTTTAACAATATATGAAGATGTGCAGAAAACTTATGCATGAAAGTGAAGGAATGCTTGAGTTTATATTTTGAAAATTCAGAAAATATTTATGGAAGAGGTGTTGAAAATGAATATTTATATGTTCATAACACCCTTTTGAAACATCATGAAGTTCTGAAAATGAATCATGAACAAATGCCAAGATTGAGTGAAAGGTTTCAATGAAAAGGTACTATGAACAGGCATGTGAAAAGCTGTTGTTTTTCAAAATCGTGCAGCATGCAATCGATTGCATCCTTTGTGTAAATCGATTGCACAAGGTTTCCACAGCTATATTTTCAAAAGTTTTAAGTGTGTAATCGATTGCACTAGCAATGTAAATCGATTGCATGTGAAGTCAGTAGCAAAAAGTAAGTGAGTGCAATTGATTGCACAAGCAATGTAAATCGATTGCACTGAGAAACATAAGCAAATGTTTTGAAAATTTTAAGTATGCAATCGATTTCACAAGCAATTTAAATCGGTTGCATAGAGAAACATAAGCAAAAGATCTAAAAATTTGAAGCATGCAATCGATTGCACTAATATGCAAATCGATTGCACTCAAGTGAAAAATGAATTTTAACTTTGAAAAACTTGAGTAATGATTTTTAAACATTTCTTTTTCATCATTGAGCATCTATATCTTAAGATTAAAGTAAATAATATCATTATACCTTGAAAGTTGTTGAGAGATTTGAACTGAAGATTTTGTCCTTAGATGCTTTGAGCTTGATCATAAATCTTTGCCTTCTTTGTCAATCATGGTTTGTCTTCATCAAAACAAAAAGCTCATTTGAGAAGCCTGATTTTACATTCTCCCCCTTTTTGATGATGACAAACAATCTTGCTTTATGCGTTGTACTTTCCGGAAGAGCTTCTCCCCCTAAGATGCAAAACTCCCCCTATTTATGAGAAGGTTGGAATCCTTTGTATTTCTTCATCTTGGTTGGAGAGTACCTTAAAAATTAATACAAGACATGGAAAAATACAAGCATAAGGTACCACATCTTTCTCCCCCTTTGACATTATCAAAAAGAAGGGAAAGATACAAAACAAACAGTAATAGAGAAATATATCGAGAAAACTTGAATTTAAACAAGTAACGCAAATTGTTTTAACGATTACACAGAAAAGTTAACAAACAAAACATTGAATAACAAGACAAGGACATAACAGAAAAAAGAGTTGGCCATAACTTCAAGGGTGATGCATGTTCGGGTGGTTATAGGACCAAGAGCCTTGATTCTGGAATTGTTGTTGAAGTGGGGGTTCTGTGTAGTGTTGAGGAGGTGCAGCTGGATTATTTGGATCATATGGTGGAATATGAAGATGAGAGTAAAGGTATGAAAACTTTTGATTCACATTTGTGCGGAAGTCATTAATCCAGGTTTTCGTAGACTCATTGATCGCACTCCACTGGTTGTTGATGTTGGTGTTCATGGAAGAAAATTGTTGAGACATGTAATCCATAAGCTCTTGATTGCTTAGACCAGAGGGAGCAGTAGGTGAAGGAGGCACAGCTTCACCGCCTTCGACTTCTTGGTCATTCCCTTCATCGCCAACAACATCTTCACCAATGTAAGTGATGGTTTTTGTTTCCGGATTGTAATGCACGCCCATCCTGAAGTCAACATTCTTGATGGAGATGTTATTCAGATTTGGATCCATATTAACTTTTTCAAACCCAGTAAAATACACTCCAAATTCCTCCATAATTAAAGTAACAAAATAAGCATATGGAAGAAATTTAGATTTTGCATCGACTCTCAGCATATGCACCATTATAAGCCTTGCCCTTACACTTATCCCTTTCTTTCTTTCATAAATCAGCTGCATTTCCAAGTCGGTCACAGTGCAGTGGATTCCAGCTCTTGGAAACATAATATAGACCATAAAGTAATGATATAGGCGATCATCTATATAGAAGTTACCTGCACTCCAAGAGTCTCTGGATGGAATTACTCCGCCAAGACCACGAATCTGTTTGGCACGGAATTCAGCTTAACTTAGCCTCCCAATGCTGTAAAAGAAATCCTTTTTCCGGTAGTCATCCCATATCTCGTTTTCAGGGTCATATAAGGAACTTCCAATGTAAGGAATATGAAGGATCTCACCAACAACCTGAGGATTTAGAGAGATACGAGTACCCAGCACATATGTCACCATTTTGCCTTTTTGGGGTGTTAGATTGCTGAAAATCATTCTTACCAAATCCGGGTAATATGGACCGAACAATGAGATTAATGGTTCAAGACCATAAGCAGCTAGATCATTTTTAAAAGAGAAGCATTTTTAGGGAAAGGAGGATAGCATACTATATTTGGGATTGGATACTATTTTACTTTGAAAATCTTTTGTGAATTTGGCTTCTTATTCTTCGGTGAGAGATGAAAGTAATGGATTAGAAGATGAATCAACCTTTTTCTTCCCTTTTTCTGAAGCTGACACCTTTCTTTTTTGTCTTGAAGCCATGGGAATGGAGTTTAGGGTTTTGAGGATTTTAGGTTTTGTGAGAGAGAAAGGTGTTTGTGAGCTGAGATTTGGAAATGATTTGAGTAGATAGGGAATGAGTGGATTGTATTAAAGTGTATTTGGCTTGGGAATATGAGAGAGAGGAATTCTGACCAACACAATTTTTCTGTCATAAAAGCAAGTTGCAGTAGGTGAAATCGATTTGCATTCAGGTGCAATCGATTTGCACATTAAACAGAATTAAAATAAAACTAAAACGCACAGAGTGCAATCGATTTGCATTGATGGTGCAATCGATTTGCACTTGAAACAGAAAGGTCAGAATTGAAAATACTCAGTGAGCAGTCGATTTACACTCTTTGTGCAATTGATTTGCATCAACAAAAAATGTCCAAAACCAAATTTTTCTTAAAAAATAAAGACCACATAACATATATTTACATATAGCATGTATAAAACATATATATAAAATCATAACAAGGGTAGAAGGCACCTTATAAGTCGTGTTCGTCAAGTATGCCAAGCTCTCATCGAATCTTGTAGAACAGTTCTCTTGCCAAAGGTTTGGTGAAGATATCAGTAAGCTGATTATGAGTATCTACAAAGGTTACCTCGACATCTCCTTGAAGAACATGATCACAGAGGAAATGATGTCGTATATCTATGTGCTTAGTTCTTGAATGCATGACGGGATTCTTCATAATGTTTATTTCACTTGTGTTGTCGCACCGTAGTGGAATGCATCCTAGATCGAGTTCGTAGTCACGAAGTTGTTGTTTTAACCACAAAATTTGAGCGCAACTACTACCCGCTGCAATATATTCAGCTTCGGCTGTGCTAAGAGCAACGCATGCTTGTTTCTTGCAGACCCATGATACTAATGCATTACCGAGGATGTGACAAGTACAACTTGTGCTTTTTCTATTCATTTTACAACCTGCATAATCCACGTCAAAATAACCAATTAAGTTACAAACACTACCTTTAGGATACCACAATACGACATTCGTTGTTCCTTTGAGATACTTCATGATCCTCTTTACCACCGTGAGATGAGATTCATTTGGATTAGCTTGAAAACGAGCATAGAGACAAACACTAAACATTATGTCAGGACGGCTTGCCGTAAAATAAAATAAAGAGCCAATCATACCTCGATACTTTGTGATGTCGATGGAAACACCTAATTCATCTTGATCAACATATGAACCAGAACCCATTGGTGTAGACATTGCCTTACAGTTATCCATGTCAAATCTTTTCAAGAGTTCCTTGCAATATTTGGATTGGTTGATGAAGATTCCATCTTTTAGTTGTTTAATTTGAAGCCCAAGAAAATAGTTCATTTTACCCATCATGAACATTTCAGATTCTCCTTGCATCATTGCTGAAAATTCTTCACACATTTCTTGATTTGAAGAACCGAAAATGATGTCATCAACATAGACTTGTGCTAGCAAAGTGTCGTCTTTGATCTTCTTGATAAATAGAGTCTTGTCAACTTTTCCCTTTTCAAAACCTTTTTCGCATAAGAAATTGCTTAAACGATCATACCATGCCCTTGGTGCTTGTTTCAATCCATAGAGATCTTTTCTCAATTTAAATACATGAGATAGATTCTTGAAATCTTCGAACCCCAGGGGTTGCTTAACGTAGACTTCTTCAGTGATATATCCATTCAAGAATGCGCTTTTGACATCCATTTGGAAAAGCTGAAAATTTAATGAACAAGCATAGGCAAGCAAGAGACGAATAACTTCTAACCTTGCAACCGGAGCGAAATTTTCTTCAAAGTATATTCCTTCTTCTTGATTGTAGCCTTGTGCTACCAATATTGCTTTGTTGTGAACAATTATTCCATTC